GGACATGGGGAGGGGGAAAGGTAAGCTGGGACAAAGTGAGAGAGAAGCACTGACATATATACACTACCAAATGTAAAACAGATAGCTAGTGGGAAGCAGCCACATAGCACAGGGAGATAAGCTCAGTGCTTTGTGACCACCTAGAGGGGTATAGGGAGGGTGGGAGGAAGATGCAAGAGGGAGGGGATAGGGGGATATAAGTATACGTATAGCTGATTCACTTTGTTATACAGCAGAAACTAACACAACAATGTAAAGCAATTATACTCCAATAAACATGTTAAAAACACAAAAAATTCATGAAAGTGATACATAGATAACTGATGTTTGAAAACTACTGTTTTAAAACAATATTATTCTAATAACCCTTAATGTACAAAAAAGAAAGAAAATTCGAGTATACTATCATAGCACTTGACTATTCTTTTGTTTGTTTGTTTTGGTTTTGGTTTGTTGTGCGGTACGCAGGCCTCTCACTGTTGTGGCCTCTCCTGCCGCGGGGCACAGGCTCAGTGGCCATGGCTCACGGGCCCAGCCGCTCCGCGGCATGTGGGATCCTCCTGGACCGGGGCACGAACCCACATCCCCTGCATCTGCAGGCAGATTCTCAACCACTGCGCCACCAGGGAAGCCCAGCACTTGACTATTCTTTTCAAGAAAACTTCTAGCCAAATCACTATAAAGCAGCTAACCCCTACTGGTCTTGACCAAGGAATCAATATATAACAATGAAAGTGCTGGTTTCTATCAGCTAGTATGCGAATGTTTGTAGCATTCATTAAAATGCTAAGGCTGGGAAAAAATATTTGCAAATGAAGCAACGGACAAAGGATTAATCTCCACAATATACAAACAGCTCACAGAGCAGAATGTCAAAAAAAAACCCAATTAAAACATGGGTTGAAGACCTAAATAAGACATTTCACCAAAGAAGACATACAGACGGCCAAGAGGCATATGATAAGATGCTCAACATCACTAACCATTAGAGAAATGCAAATCAAAACTACAATGAAGTATCACCTCACACTGGTCAGAATGGCCATCATCAAAAAATCTGCAAGCAATAAATGCTGGAGAGGGTACGGAGAAAAGGGAACCCTTTTGCACTGTTGGTGGGAATGTAAATTGATACAGCCACTATGGAGAACAGTACGGAGGTTCCTTAAAAACTAAAAATAAAACTACCATATGACCAGGCAATCCCACTACTGGGCATATACCCTGAGAAAACCATAATTCAAAAGAACACATGTACCCCAATGCTCACTGCAGCACTAATTACAATAGCCAGGACATGGAAACAACCTAAATGTCCAATGATACATGAATGGATAAAGAAGATGTGGTACATATATACAATGGAATATTACTCAGCCATAAATAGGAACGAAATTGGGTCATTTGTAGAGATGTGGATGGACCCAGAGTCTGTCATAGAGAGTGAAGTAAACCAGAAAGAGAAAAACAAATATCATACATTAACGCATATGTGTGGATTCTAGAAAAATGGTACAGGTGAACCTATCTGTAGGGCAAGAATAGAGACAGAGAGGCAGAGAATGGACATGTGGACACAGTGGGGGAAGGGGAGGGTGGGACGAACTGGGAGATTAGGTTTGACATAAATACACTACCATCTATAAAACAGATAGCTAGTGGAACCTGCTGTATAGCACAGGAAGCTCAGCTCGGTGCTATGTGATGACCTAGATGTGGGTGGAAGGGGAGGAGGGAGGTCCAAGAGGGAGAGGATACATATATACATATAGCTGATTCACTTCATTGTACAGCAGAAACTAACACAACATTGTAAAGCAATTTTACTCCAATAAATAAATAAAAATAAGATAAGATGAAGATGTACTCTTTATATTCCAAACCCCCCCCCCAAAAAAGCGCTAAGCCTATTCTAAAATAATCTAAATAATGATTTCTATTTTGATTTCATAACTTCATTTTAAGGAATTTTTAAATTTGATCCCATAGCTGTTCCTGGGACTCTCAGAGCCCACAGATGGAGGGAAAATAGGCAAATTACAGTGCGGGATGCTGATCAGAGAAGGGTGGCTAAGGGATAGGAAGGGGAGAAAAGAAGGGGCAGCATACACATAATTAATTTTCCTAAGAAGAAAATTTTCCTATGAATTCTTCACATCAAGAATCTAGGCCAACTTTCAGAATGGCAGAATAAGAACTTAAAAAAATCTACTCCTCCATAAAAGCAAGAGAACACTGATAAAACTTGTCAAAATCAACCTTTTCAGAAGTATAAAAATTAACCAGTCTTACAACAATCCAAGGACCATTTATTTACTCAAGAAAAACGACCCAATCTCAATAAGAAAAGTAATCTCTGTGGTGTTTTAATCCCATCCCCCTCTTCCCAGCTCTGCAGTAGACTTGAAAACCAATAGACTAGCAACTTATGGTAGTTGTTAAAAGCCATCCTCCTAGCAGCCACTAGAACAGATTGGGTTTGGAATTCCCCAAAAGCTTCATCCTGAGAGTTGTCACCATCTGACCCAACCAGCAGCAGACTGAACAGCTCCGTTCTCAGAATCACTTTATTTCATCTAACTCAGAGCTAACTCTGTGGAAGCAGCCCTATCCCCAGGTTGTTTCTCAGAAACAATCTCAGCAGCAGCTGTCTAACACAGCAGCTGCCTGAGTGATATTACCAGTTGGGGGCTAACAAAAGGCTGACCAAAAAAATTTTAAAGGAAAAATTAAGGAATGGAAGGCCCATAGAGGGCTTTGAAAAGCTAGCTCCAACATACTCCTGGGAATCTAGAATGACATATGTACATTCAGGACTGTGTTTGTACCAAAGGAAGATCTGAGAACGTCCTACTCTCTCACCTCTGGGTAACCCTGAGGCTCTGTGCAAATGAGAAATGAAGTCTATAAACTGCCTACTGGAGCACTGAAAGCATATCCAACAGATTAACATAGCCCCTCAATAAAGGCTGACTTATTAGTTAAAGGCAATTAAAGAAATCTCTGTCCAAACATTAGCTGACCACTAACTCAGCAGAAACTGCAAAGGCCACACACAACAAAAAGGCTTTACAAAATTAGTCCAGGAAAGTCACAAAGCAAACAGCAACAACACAACAACAGCAAACCTGACTGAGGTTGGGGGTAGGGCATGTCTGATTAACAAGATTGTCAAACTGCTTAAAATGTCCAGTTTTGAACAAAAAAGTTCAAAAAATTAGGAGACCCATGAAGAAACAGGAAAGTAGGGCCCATACTCAGGGGTTAAAAATAGCATACAATAGAAACTGTTCCTGAGGCAGTCCAGAGGGTTGGACCTATGGACAAAGACAAGCAAATATCAGAACAAGTCAGTTGAAATTATCGATCTGAGCAACAGAAAGGGGACACCACCAAACATACAACATATGCATAATGGGAGTCACAGGAAAGGAGAGAGAGGACCAAAAGGATATTTGAAAAAATAATGGCCCCAAACTTCCCAATTTGATGAAAAACATTAACCTACATGCCTCAGAAGCTTAACAAACTTCATGGTGGATGAACTCAGAGATCCACACCTAGGCTTATCATTGTCAAACTACTGACAGTCAAGGAGGATATCTTGAAAGATCAGGAGAAAAGTGACTCATCACATACAAGGGATCCTCAATAAGATTAACAGCTGACTCCTAATCAGAACCCTGGAGGCCAAAGGCCAAGGGGTGAAGTCCAAGTGTTGAATAGGAAGACTATGAACCAAGAATTCTATACACAGTGGAACTGTAAAATGAAGCACAGTCCTACAGAAATGAAAGAAAAATTAAAGACATTCTCGGATAAACAAAAATGAGAGAATCTTGTCATTTTCAGACCTGCCTTATGAGAAACACTAAAGGGAGTCCTTCTGGCCAAAATTAAAGGACAGTAAATAGTAATTTGAATCCACATGAAAAAATAAGGAGCACCAATGAAAAAAGGTAATTACATAGGTAAATAAAAAGACAGTATAAATGTATTTTTGTTTGTAATATTTTTCTTGTCCTAACTTATGATAACTGCATAAAAATTAAAATTATGAAATTATAAGCTTACGGTGTATGAAGATGTAACTTATCTGACAATAACAGTACAAAGAAGGGGGTCATGGAGCTATAGTGGAGCAAGTTTTTTCTATACTATTGAAATTAACCTGAACCAGGTTGTTTTCAGTTTTAAGATGTGAATTGAAATTTCCAGAGTAACAACTAAGAAAACAATGCAAGAAAAAAAATATATATACAGTGCTCTCCATTTTACTAAATCAAATTACTAAATCAACTCTCAGTGTTAATCCAACAAGTGACACAGGTTGATCAGTGTTTTCTCTTTGAAACACTATCTTTTTTTCCCTCTTTCTCAGGCTTGCTTATCAGAGCCTCCCCATTTCTCCAATTTCTGAATGGTAGGGGCCTCTGGACTCAATCCTTGACGCTCCTCTCTCTCTCATATCTTCATTTAATTGGCAGGTGATCTTATCCAGTCTCATGACTTCGAGTTCCAGCTAGACACTGATGGCTCCCAAATCTGTGTCTACATCCCTAACCTATCCTCTGAGCCCCAGACCCAGGACACCCAACTGCCCATTCTAACTCTTGTGTTCCACATCTAATAGGCACTTTAACCTACTTGCCTAATGTATGTCTGCATGGCTCACTGCCTCACACCTTTCAGCTCTCTGGTCAAATGTAAGTTCTTCAGAGAAGCCTTCCACAACTGTCTTATGTAAAACAGAACCTCTCCCTCACTCTGTACCCCATAATCCTTTAAAATTTTTCTTCACTGCCTGCATCACAACCCATTTATATTTATATATCTGTTTTAGGTAAACTTTAAGAGCTGAATCCTCGTTCACTATTTTACCTTAGTGCACAGAACATACTTAAACATTTATTAAAGGAAGAGAAAGGGAATACTGATTAGGAATAAATGCATAAAAGGGCTTTTCACCAATGCATAATACAAACAATGAAGACACTTACTTTTCCTTTTTTTCTTGTTTGTGGGCCTCTCTGGTAATTTGAGCCGCTTTTCTACTGTATGGATGGATGACTTTTTTTTCTTGTCCTACACTTTTTCCCTTTGGTGCTTTAGGCTAAAATGTAGAGAAACATATGGCACACACAGTCAGATACATAAATGACTTTCTCAAAAAATTTTCTTTAGAAATAAAAATTTAAAACAGTAATATAACAGAAATACTGTGAGTCAGAAATACTACACTACGAATCAGGAGAAACGCCAGACTCAAAGTCTTTGTTTCCATGCTCCTAACAGAAATGATATACATACAGCTGACCCCTGAACATCGGTTTGAAATGCATGGGTCCACTTAAACAGATTGATTTTTTTCCCACAGTAAATACTACAGTGCTACATGATCCACGGTTATGGAGGAAGTGCATATATGGAGGGCCGACTATAAATTATATGCAGATTTTTGACTGTATGGAGGATGAGTGCCCCTAACCTTGCATTGTTCAAGGGTCAACTGTATTCAGAACTATTCTCCATTAATGTAAGAAAAGAAAGAAAGGCACAGAGTCAATGAACCAGCTCTTCACTGTTCCAGCTTCAAAGCAGATACAAAGAATGCAGATAGTGAGGAGGCTGAGGGTTGGAAATTTGCATCAAAGTTAAGAAAGTTTCAAGAGGGCAGAAGGAACACAGGATGTTAATGCGAGCCCGACTGCACAAGCTGCACGTGGAACACTGGGCAGTGAATAAAGCAAATCAAACTTGGGCTCACAGGAGATCAGGAACAGAGGAAATAATATAAGCCATCTCGAAATTAGCACATCCCATTCAAGCCTTATGCCAGTTAACTAGGTCCTCTAAACTAGTTGTCTAGTATTTCAGTAACTTTTTATTCCTACATAATTCTGTATCTTATATCTGACCTATATTACTTAGGAATTTTGTTTGGCTCCCTATAATAGAAAGCCAAAAAGTAGTGGCTTAACCCAGATAAAGTTTAGCTCTCTCATGTAAAAAGGAGCTGGAGGTTCTGTTCCACAAAGCCCTGAGATCCAAACTCCTTCCACCTTGTTATCCCACTATCCTTAAGCTATAACCTAGTATCTATCCACAGAGTTCAAAATGGCTTAACAGCAGATCTACACTCCAGCCAGTGAGAAGTGGAAAAGAAAATCAAAACACATATTCCTCCTATATTATATGTAAGGGAGGATTACATAAGGGGTTAGTAAATATAATCTTTATTCTCAGGAAAAAATACAGGATTACGGAAGAAAAAGAAAGAGGCATTGGCTAACATACCTAATTCTCAAAAAGGTCAGGTTTCTAGAATATTCTCTTCAAACCTACTGTCACTGCCTTAATTCAGTCTCATGATCTTTCATGATTAGGATGGCCTTTAGGTTCTCACTACTAGTCCTTTTTCATTGGAAGTGACAGAGCTTATCTTCCTACAACACTAATTAGTAAAGTCCTTCTCCCCTGCTAAAGAGCTCCACTAACTCAGGCCATAAATCCTTAACATGGAAAACAATCTACCCCAACCTATTTCTCCAGCATTATATCCCATTCTTCCAAAGACCCTTCATCCCATTCTTACTAACTTCTCACCAATTCTAGAATATACCCTGCTGTTTATTTACATCTGGAGACTATACTTGTTGCTACCTCTGCCTGCAAAATCCATTTCCTTACTTGTCCTTTGACAAGACACAGCTCAAAGTCACTTCCTTTGTAAAACTTCCAGGCAGAATTAGTTAAAATGACCACCTCACACATGTACTCATTTCATCAACAAATATTTACTGAAATATTTAATAAATATTTACTGCTCACTTCTTGATAAACCTGACCAGAGAAGATTAACTCCAAGTCTGAAACCCAGGATGCCCCTGGAAGCTGTTACAAGTATAGGAGTATAAAGTGTGAAACCATCATAAGAGTATGTGCATTCTTTTGTGTCTCTCTGCACATGTGGCAGGGAGGGAGGAAGGAGAAAGGAAGATGTGAGAAGGAACTTTTGTGCATGAAGTGTGCCCAGCAAACATAAATCAAGTCTGTTTGCACCCACCTGTAACCCCCTCCCCGAGCGTGAGCTCACGTTATTGACTAGCCTGGGGCAAAAGCAATGAGCTATCAATCCCAAGACTAGGTTATGAAAGGACACGGGCTCTGTCTTGCCCGCTCCCTTTTGCCCTCTTCTGGCTCTCTGATGGAGACCAGCTGGCTTGTAGTGAGCTGCCCGACATACACAGGGGCCCCTGTGACAAGTAACTGAGAGAGGCCTCAGCCAACAGCCACTGAAGAACAGAGGCCCTTGGTCCAACAGTCCACAAGGAGCTGAATCCCACCAAGAAAGATGTGAGTGAGCTAAGAAATGGATCATCCACAGCTGTGCCCTGAGATGAAACCACAGCTTCAGGTTATACCTTGACTGAAACTGGTGAGAAACCTTGATGGAGAGGATCCACGTAAGGATCCTGATCTGTGACCCAGAAAAAGTATGAGATAATAAATTCTGTTGTTTTAAGCTGATAAATTGTGGGATAGCATGTTAAAGAGATAACTAATGTAAGACCAAAAAATTAAGCAAAGATCTCTTTGAAAAGATATCTTTATTCCATATATTCCAATAAATAAAATGCTTAAAAAAATGAAACAAGGTCACAAAAATCTCAAGAAAAAAAGATGGTTTCTGAAGCTGTAAAACTTAAGTTACAGAGCTGTGTAACGTTTCAGCAGTATGTCCAAGTCTATAAAAATTTCCTTTAAAGATTTAAAAACTTTCTTTAGAACAAGAAATACTGATACCGTTGGAGTATAAAAATGTCTGCACAGCTTTAGATCTCAGTTAAAGAACCTCCAAGACTTAGTACTAAGAAAATACAAAAAAACTGAACTTATATTCTGACTCAACAGTAGACTATGATTTCTTATAATAATTTATTCATGAAAAGGTTGCCTCAAGGCAGGTTATAAATATATAATAAGGCACAGAAACATGTATCATAAAATATTAAATTTCAAAACAACTTTATGTTTCAATATATTACTTTTAAAAAAAATCAACAAAATAGTTCAACAGGGGAAAAGTGAAGTAAAACCCTATCAATGAAAATTAATCTATTAATTACGGTCTACTCAATCTAAGTATCTCTTAATTAAAAAGCAATTAATCTCCATCAATCAGGGATTGTCCAAATTTATTTTGTAAAACATCTGACAATTCATAAAAAAGTACAGAATGTAAACATATAACAAAACTGGGGGGAGAGGGATTTAAGGTGTATTTTCAATTAAAACTTAGTATTTTATGTTTCAAAAAGCACCAAATTAAACTCTCAAAGATACAACAAAAATATATTTTTTTCATATGCATCACAGACTACTCTGAATAACAGAAACTTGCAAAAGTTTCTGGCACCACAGAAATATGCCGGTTAAGAAAACTGATATTACAAGTCTCTCTTACATACTTGGATTCATACTTCAGAGTAACAAAGAAAACACACAAGTAGTTTATTCAAACAACACAGCAACAAAGAGAGGTATTTCAGGAGCAATATGCTTTAAATATTCCTGTTAAAATCATAAATAACAAAATGGAACTTTTCCTAAAATACTATCAAAGCCATCAAAGAATCTAGGCTCCACTAGAAACAAAAGTGTCATTTAGACTGCCCAATTCAACTAGAAACCTAGAAGAATGATCATTTCACCAAACACACTTAAGGTACACAAAGGTATATGAATACTTAAAAAAAAAAATGTAGAGGAGGAAAGCCATGCCTACAACTGAGAAAGTTTACAGTATATAATACCTTAAACTCCAAATACCCTAAAGCACAAAATAATTTCTAGAATATGATATACTAAGTCACTTAACATCGAAGACATAACAGGAATGTAATGAACTAATTAACAGAATCTGCACCATTTTTTTTGCAGGCACTCTACCCTGAAGAACCCTAGGGCATTTCCCTTGCTTAACAGATAAATTTGATGCCAACGACAAGTGTCAATGACAAATACCTAGTTAGAGCATCCAGAAAGGAACTTAACGGTTCTCCACATAAGCCTTGCTAAACCCCATTCAATTTTAAAGGACCATTTCCAGTTCACGTATTTGTGAAGACATCCACAAATATGTAACCATTTCACATCTCAGTATCCTTTCTCTCTGGGTAGCATTTCTCCCGTAGCACTTAACATACTGCACTGACCAGTCATTTAATTCCACACGTGTGCTTATCTCCTACATTGCAGCTCCCTGAAGACTACAAACATGTTCTACTGGGCTGAAAATAATAGTTGGAAGGAAAGAAAAGAGAGTGGGATGTTGACCCAAGTGAATATTTTACTGTATACTGTACATTGAGCTACTATGTATACTGTATACTGTACATTGAGCTACTACATTGAGTAAAAAATATTTTAAAAGTTCTTTAAAATAGTGTGAAATACATCATATAAAAATAATTTTGGGGCTTCCCTGGTGGCGCAGTGGTTGAGAGTCCGCCTGCCAATGCAGGGGACACGGGTTCGTGCCCCGGTCCGGGAAGATCCCACATGCCGCGGAGCGGCTGGGCCCGTGAGCCATGGCCGCTGAGCCTGCGCGTCCGGAGCCTGTGCTCCGCAACGGGAGAGGCCACAACAGTGAGAGGCACACGTACCGCAAAAAAACAAAAAACAAAAAACAAAAAACAAAAAAAAAAAAATAATTTTTAAAGGCTCATAAACAATACTCTCCTTAACATTAAGAAAATATCTTAATAATTCTCTAATGCCGATTTTACCATTCATGCAAAAATCTAACATCAGGCTCAACTTTATGTTATTCCTGACTTACCCATCAATAACTAGTCAGAATTAACCATTTCTCCCATTCTTCTGCTACCACTCTTTACACCTCTACCTTATACTAATGTTCACTGACCAAAAAAAACAAAAACAACCCACAAACTTACTGAGCACATACTACCATATATTAAAATAGGCAGTGAGGTTCCAGGATTAAAAACAGACACGGACTTGCTTACAGTCTAGTTATATCCTAACTACGTAATTTACAATCTAGTTATCTCATGAATAACTATGTAACTTAGTAAGTGCTGGCTAGAAAATGGCCACCATATAATAGGCGTACCTAACTTTGGGAAATCAGGAAGAGACTCCCCGAGGAACTGACTTGAGACCTTCTTGGTTTTTTAAGGATAATGCGAGCTGCTGTATAAAGGACAGTTCGGACGGAGATAGAGTAAGAAGCAAGACTACTGAAGTATTGAGGTCATTAAGAAAAAAATGACAGTTGAGTGTCACAACCGGGGTGACAGTGAAGACGGAGAGAAATGGCAAGGTATGAAATGCATTTTGAAGACAGAATGACAGGACTGACTATGGACGGTGAGGGAAAGCGAAGAGTCCACTATGACTCCCACGTTTGCAACAAAGCAATCAAGTGATCAGAACTCCCACTGACTAAGACAGGAACTGGCACATGGAGACAGAGGGCATCAAGAACCCACTTTCAGCCACTGGTTTAAGATGCCCTGGAGACTGCTAAGTAGAGATGTAAACTAAGTAAATAAAGTTATGAGTCTGGCAGCTAGAAAACAGGTCTGGGCTGAAGATACAAATTTGGGATAACTTGGGGTTAAAGGAGGTACTTTAAAGCCACAGAGATAAGAGTCTCTTCAGTAGAATAAGAAAAGGGGCTAGGGCTAAGCTCAGATAAACAGGTATTTAATAAGCACCTACAATGTAACATGCACCATTATGAAATCAATGAGAAAAAGATTAGTAACCTAAAATAAAAACAGGTCACAAGAAAGAGTACAGATAAATGCCTTTTAAGTTTTGAAAAGCTGTGTGCTCTACCTTAAAAGAAATGTAAATTAAAACTTCAATAAACTATAATTTTTAATGTATAAAAAGGATTTTTAAAAGTTATTTATTCACACTGAATTAGTGACACTGTGGGGGAGTTAGTAGTCTCACTAAAAAGCGGGATGTAAATTGGTACAATCTTCTGGAAGGTGATTTGATAGTTCTTATCAAAATAAAAACTGCACGTCTTTTGATCAAGGAATCCTACTTCTATTAATTTAGTCTACAGACATATTTACACATCTACAAAACAAATAATAATCAATGCAGCAGTGTTTGTAGTAGCAAAAGGATGGAAACAGCTTAAGTGTCCATCAGAGACCTGGTAAATAAATTATAGTAAAAGCAAACAATAGGATGTCAGCTGTTAAAAAAGCAAGAGGTAGATCTATGTGTACTCACGCAGATTGATAGAGTCTAAGATCAGGTAGAAGAAAAAAGGCAAGGGGCATTAGGAGCGTGTCTAGCATACTGCTTCTATAAAAAGAGTGAGGTCAGAGAACATATATACTGGCATATTCATATGAAATATCTGAATGGTTATCTAAGAAACTGTTCTAACAGTGGTTGTTTCTCAACTGAGCTAAGGAATTAGGTAACACAGTTGGAGGCAGACCTACTTTTTGTTGTAGGTAGAATACCCTCCCTCCCAAAGATGCCCTAATTCCCCCACACCCATGAATGTGTTACCACACATGGCAAAAAGGACTGTACAGATGCCATCAAAGATCCTGAGATGGGGCTTCCCTGGTGGCGCAGTGGTTGGGAGTCCGCCTGCCGATGCAGGGGATACGGGTTCGTGCCCCGGTCTGGGAGGGTCCCGCGTGCCGTGGAGCGGCTGGGCCCGTGAGCCATGGCCGTTGAGCCTGCTCGTCCGGAGCCTGTGCTCCGCAATGGGAGAGGCCGCTCCGCAACGGGAGAGGCCCGGGTACCACAAAAACCAAAAAAAAAAAAAAAAAAAAAAAAAAAAAGATCCTGAGATGGGGAGATTATCCTGGATTATCCACAAGGGCCCAAAATAATTGCAAGGGTCTTTATAAGAGGGAGGCAGAAGGACCACTGTCAAGAGGAAGAGATGTGCCCTTCTCTTCAGGCAGATTTGAAGATGTTACACTGATGGCTTTGAAGAGAAGGAAAGCCAAGAGTCAAGGAATGTAGGCAACCTCTAGAAACTGGAAAAAGGGACGAGATTCTCCACTAGAGCATCCTGAAGGAAGACAGCCCCAGCTACACCTTGATTTTAGCTCAGTAAGACTCATTTTTGGACTGCTGATCTCCAGGAATATAAGAGAACGAATCTGTGTTGTTTCAAGCCATTAAATTTGTATTATTTTTTTACAACAGTAAAAGGAAATTAACACACATTTCACGGACAACCACGTTACTGTTTTTTTTTTTTAAACCACGTACATGTAACATTATCCCCAAAGTTGGTATTCTAGGTAGATTTTCATGAATGTTTTTCTTTAGTTTTACTAAATCTCAGAAACCAGTTTTTACTAGCAGGTAATCGCTTTAATACCCACGATGCTTATAGGCATAAAAACAGAAACATAAGGGCTTCCCTGGTGGTGCAGTGGTTGAGAGTCCGCCTGCCGATGCAGGGGACACGGGTTCGTGTCCCGGTCCGGGAAGATCCCACATGCCTCGGAGTGGCTGGGCCCGTGAGCCATGGCCGCTGAGCCTGCGCGTCCGGAGCCTGTGCTCCGCAACGGGAGAGGCCACAACAGTGAGAGGCCCGCAAACCGCAAAAAAACAAAAAACAAAAAAAAAGCAGAAACATAGACAAATAAAACAGAATCGAGAGTCCAGACAAGGGAGCCAAGGTTTTCTAGGAAAGCCTAGAAAAGAAAATTATAAAGAGCTGGCCACCGCACATACTGATAAATAAAAAGACTTAATTTACACAAACGTATATAATCTAAAGCAAAAAGACTGTAGACAGACATGAAAAATAAGAATACAATGAAAATGAAAAATAGAAAATGGAAAGTGACAGAGAAAGGGGACTAATGGCACTGAGACCAGAGTATCACAACTTATTACCAGATTATAAACTTTTTTATGCTGTTGTTTTCGTTAGGAACTAACTGAAAAGTGACTATTTACAAAACATGTTCCCATTCAAGAATTATTCTCAACAACAGACGCAAAAAGGAAAAAAATAGCAGTTTTGTAATATAAACATAAGTGGTAAATATAAAAACAAGCAAGCATAATTTAGATACTGTTTACCTCTGAGTGGCTCCTGGAAATATAGGTTCAAGGAGAAAACAGAAGGGTTCTTAAAGTGAAAAACGGATAACCGAGAGTTCCTTATACAGTTTATACTTAAACGTGCTACATAAGCGCTCTTCTGCATCCACTGCATTTTTAATAAAAACCAAGTGTCAGTGCGACGGAGGGGATGAGGGGCGTGGAGGCAGGGTCTGGGGCGGGAGTAGGACACTGAGGGATGGTGAGCGGCCGCGAGGACCGGCGACTACGCCGTCCCCGACGCGCCCCGTCCGCCCCCCCTCCTACACCGCTGAGGAGCGAGTACACGGAGGCCCGCGGATTCCCCGCGGGCTGGGGGCAGCGGCAGGCGCCCTAAGAGCCCTGCAGGACCCGGCCCGGAACCCGTGCCTGCACCGCAGCCCGCGCACGGCCCATCGTTCTCCCTCCGCACCCCGCTGCCAGCGGTCCGACGCCGGCCCGCCCTCCCCGCCACCGACCGGAGCCTTCCAGGAACGGGTGGGACCCACCATGGCGACGTCCTCGCGGCCTGGGACCTCCGGACCTCCGAGTACACACGGCGAGACCTCAGAGTCGGCGGCGGCAACAGCTCACGAGGCGACTCCGGCCAAATCCACGAGGAGCGGAAGAAGCCGGGCTCACCTGACCGGCAGGGGGGCGGGACGAGTGTTCTTCCCTAAAACGTCCCCGGAAACAAGACCTCACCTTTGTGGGCCGTGGTGGACTCTCACGCCCCCGCCGGGCAGACAGGCTCCCCGCGTGCTCGCCGGGCGCCGTGGGCGGGGTGGCGGAGCTCAGGGCCAAGGGTGAACTGGGCGGCGCCGGGCGTGAGGCAGCGACCTGGGCTCGGCGCTCCCGGCGGTGGCGGCCCGGCCCCGCGGGGTCTCGGGCGTCTGCCCGGCGCGCAGATCCCGGACCGCGCAGCCCCTTCGGACGTGGCGGCACCGGGCTCCGGCCTCACGCACGCCGCCCGCTGCCGGTGGCGCCCACGGCCGCCGCGTTCCCCGGGCGCAGGCCTGCCCTCCGCGCCTCCGGGCCGCCTGAGCGAAGTTCCCCCGAGGCTGTTTCCTCACCTGTGAAGGCCCCCTCTGCCCACTCGAGGCTCCTTCCCACCCGGTTTTTCTGTGTTGTTCTCACGATGTGTGAGTCTTCGTTCCACCTGTACTTGGGAGGATTCCGTGGACAATATATTCGTTCAGCAAACACTGAATGATCTCCTTCTGTGTGCCAGGCCTTGGGAATACGCCGACGATATTCCTGCCCTAGCTCAGCTCATATTCCAAGGCGACATGTGAAAAAAAAACACCTAATTAATATTGTTTTCCAGTACCATACTGTTCTGAAAAACATAAAGCTGGAAGGGTAGGCAGGAGAGCTGTTTCACACGTGCTGTTCTCTGAATCCGCTTTTGAAAGTTAAGAGTTGGGCAGAGACCTACGTTAAAGGCAAAAAATTGAAGGAACGGTAAGGCAGACTTTATTCAAGGGGTTCCTCCTCAATCTGTATAAGGATCACCGCAGTGGGGAGAGATACGGGCTCCACTCGGAATATACGGGGACAGGAGGGAATTTATAGCCCAGGAGCAGGGTGGCGGGTAGTGGATGGAAAATTACTAAGAGGAAACATTAGGGGTGACGGGGCATTCTGGCTACACCAACCTAACAGGACTCTCGAAATAGGCAGGCTGGTGTGATCAGACATCACCTGGAAGATGGTGAATGATCCGGAATCTGATGAGTTACAGACATGGAGGTTGACCAGGTGTGGAAGATGGGGGACTCTGGCTAAACCGACTTTCCTGCTAAAATTGAACAATCAGATACGAACAGGCAATCCAAAATTCCAGGCCTAGTTGAAAAAAGAGTTCAGAGGAGCCTGAGTAGAGTTTGGTCAAGGAGAGAATCTTGTCACCTGAATGAAAGGAGAAAACGGTAGGGAGAAGTGGGGTATATGTGTGCAGGTGCATGAATTTAATCAACAACTATAGCCACTGAAAACTAGATTAAATTGTAAACAAGAATGGGTGACCACAAGATCCCTGAATCTAGGGGCAAGGCTTTTAAGTGTGTGAAAGCGCATCCTGTGTGAATCTGCACAATGAAGGGGGGCACCCTTGTAGTATCTACTCTGGAGGCACTACTCTATTGAGAACTCTGGTTAATCCATAACATTTGCACCCTAGATATTGCATACGATAACCGTTTCCTGTGAAGCCAACTTAACACCCACTCTACCCAGTTTCCGAAATCCGGTCCACTGCAAGTCATCATCCTGAGTTCTATGTTACTGCAAATCCAGTAAGCATTAAATTCTTGTTCTGGCTATTTCAGCTGTTACTAATTGCTCTACCGATCACAAAATTCCCTACCTGCTCCTACCCCATTCTTAATTTCAAATTGCCAACAATCCAACAAACTATGTATCTTCATTTTAATTTGGGTTTGAAAATAAAAGATTTTGTATTTTCCCCATTCAGATTCAACCCCTAAATAATACTGATTATGGGCAAGGCACCATGTTCAAAATACACTGTAGCAAATTCAAGAATGAATTATACAAAGTAAGAGTACAGTAATGCACTATATATATATAAAGTACAATAGTGAAGACAAATATTTGGTCATAATTTAGTGTGTACATGTACCACAGTGAAAAGCAGAATGAAGCCTCCTACTTCTCCCCCCCAATATCACACCCCTGCACCCTGCCACCCAGTAGAGAGTTGGGAGATATCTTTAGAGATGTTTCCCTGTGCTTTCACAAATGTACTAAGGCATATGTGTGTGTGTGTGTGTGTGTGTGTGTGTGCGCGCGCGCGCGCGCATGTGTAGGGGTAAAGTATTGATTAACATTAGATACTGATATAATAATACAGGAATACTTTCTAGGGTAACCACTAAAAGAAAAGAAAACAGGGTATATGACTTTGAATAGGATACAAACAAGTAGAGAAAATGAAATGATAAAATATTCAGATAACTCAAAGCAATGAAATAAAAAAAAAGAACCATAGGACTGTAGGGAA